GACTTAGTTTGGTCTTTTAGCCACTAAAATACAGTGGATTTTCAGTGGTTAACATGTGTTTTTGAGCCCTAAAATCAGAGAGGGGTGACCCTCTCACCCCTTGATTTGTAGACTTGGTTTGTTGGCCTTCCAAAGGGGCTCCTACTTGCATGTTTCAAAGCCATATTTTAGGCCCTATTTGGTGAGTTTTAAGGTCTATGTAGGCTCTATCCAGAGCCCATTTTTCCATATAAAGTGTCTATTATGCATGTGTAGAACAATCCTATTCAAGGCCTTTCAAAGGGGCTTTCACTTGCATGCTTCCTAGACTAATTTCAAGACCTTTTGGTTGGTTTTAGGACCCTCATAACCTCATTTCAAAGGTGGTTTTTCCATTTTGTTTGTCCATCTTACATGTGTAGAATAACCCCTTGCATGGCCTTCCAAAGGAGCCTATCATTGTTGCTTGCATTGACAGAGGTTCAGTGGGTTTTTGTGCATATTTTGGCATGGCATAGTTCTGTTTTTGGCTGGTTTAGTGAGCTCTCGTATGCTTCATATAGTTGTAGTACAACTCATGGTTCACTAGCTTTCTTTGCATGCCTTGTTGACCCTTGATTTTAGCACTTTTTGGCCATGCATTAAACTGATTTTGTGCATATTTTGGACTTCCTTAGCTCTGTTTTGGGTCTCATGGCCGAATGATGCTTGTTTTGCATGCTTGTAGTTCAATGTCCATGCTTAGCTTTGAGTTTTGAGGTCCACTACATGCATATACTGGGATGTTTTCTTGTTTTGGGGCCATTATACATCATATTTCAGAGCTTATGTGAATGCCTTATTCCCATGTTTAGTACTCTTTAAATGCGTTTGAGAGCCGGGCTTGTATGCCTCATTTACGGACCACTGAACAAACTCCATTTCTTTGAATTCTGAGCCATCATTTTAGGCCATATCCACACTTTTTTAGACCTGCCTAGGGTCTGTTTTGGGTTGGTTTTGCCATTGGTGTATTGCTTTGTGTACCTCTAGTGTAACCCGCTTCACTAGTTTCGGTACCCGGGCCATGTAGCATGCATTGTGTGACATATTCGGATATTTCGGGATCATCTTTTATGCCATTTCAAAGCTGTGTCATGTGTGTTTGTATGCCATGTGTCATCCCTTGCCATGCTTTGGTAGAGTGGCATTCGATGCCTTAGGTTCGGTCCCTTGCATTGGGCATGTTTGCATGAGCGTTCTTGTCTAATTTCAATTGTGTTTGGCCATTGATTTGAGTGTGGCTGAGGTCCACTCATATTGGTGTAAGTCCATCGTGCATTGCGTATGCCATTTTAGTCCATTGTATTGCGTATGCTAGGTTGCATGTTAGTCGCATTGTGTATGCCATCTCATTGCATTGTGTTTGGGATAGGAGTTAGCCCAAACACGGGAAACGAGGGACATTTTATACTCAAAGTGACGAAATGTGTCTCAATCCCCGATCGCCGACACTCCAGATTACCCATGATGGAGTTTAGGTCTTGTTGTGTTTTCATGTGCATTCATTTCACATCGAGTCGTGCAATTCGACTCCTCGTCCGTCATGCATCGAGATGCGTGACTGGTGGCACGAGGATCGAGGTGTGCATACATATGTGAAAATACTTTACCATGCCCCTTTCTTGCTCTTTTTTGCAGCAAACTAGAAATCAGCAGCCTTCTAGAGCTTTGCACAGCATTCCGGGATTAATTGCAAACAGAGGCAAATCGGGGCATCGCGAGGAATTTTCTGACGAGGCGACGCGAGCATGCATGCATCTTTCATCATTCAGAACAGAGCTGAGGCAATCCATGGATTTGCATACCAGTTTATTTTCCTTCCCTAGTTAATTTGTTAATTAATTAGGGTTTTGTAATTGTAATGACCCCAATATGCGTATAGAAAGTCATCCTTATTTAATTAGGGGTTAATGTGTTTTAATTCAACTATATCTATCGGAATTGAAAAATTATCTGCTGAGTTATGGCGACCTTTATTGTATTCCAGGACGGAACTAGACTTGTGACAAGGTGAATCAAGTTTGGAGGACCAAACTTCTGAAGGTGGGGAGAATGTAAAGACCCCAATATGCGTATAGAAAGTCATCCTTATTTAATTAGGGGTTAATGTGTTTTAATTCAACTATATCTATCGGAATTGAAAAATTATCTGCTGAGTTATGGCGACCTTTATTGTATTGGCTTGAAATTTGTTTTACCCTCCGCTCGAGCATGGGCTCGTTTTTGACTTTCTTAATAGTGTATTTGGAATGTTCTTACCTTATTTTGGGGTATTGTTTGAGGTGGTGGTATGATGGTAAAGTAAGATTGGACCAACGAATTTAATTCGAACAGTTAACCTACGATCAGCCATCATTCATTTGTCCTTTCCTTTTTCCACACTTGGAATTTGAATGTGAGGTTAGAACCATTGGAAAGCTTATTTCCGGGGCTTCGATTTGGACACAAGAACAACCTAGAGCGGAGTTCCGATGAGAAAGTTATACCCGTTTGAAGTTTTCACATCTGTGCTGGAAGTAGAGCCGCATGTGCGGGGAATAGCGCCGCACGTGCGGTCGGTGCGGGACAGCAGCTCTAAAAACGGGATTTTTGGGCCATTTCTTGCAATTTCTTTTCCTCACTTCTTCTCCCCTCTTCCATGTCCGAAACCCTAGCCCTAAATCCTTGAATTCCTTTACTTTGCTCATGGTCCACCATGGTTTTTGGCATCAAGGATGGAGAACAAGGGAAGATCGATGTTTTTACCCGATTAGAACTTGGATTTGTGAAGGCTTCTTCTCAAGCTCACTTCTTTGCTTGATTGTTGAGGTAAGGGTTTGAAAACTCTTCAATACTTATATCCATAGATAGATTTGTGACATTTTATTATCTAAATACAAAATTTCCATATTTAGAGCATGTAGTGTATAGTATGAGATTTGGGGTTTTATGGTTTGAAGATGTTGGGAGTTAATTAATGGGTTAAAATGGTGAATTATGAGTCCTATGTGTATAATCAATGGAAAAGTTGGAATAAAAATTGTTGGGTTAATAAGTTTGATTATTTATTGAAATCTCCATATTTTCTTGAAACCCTAGGTTGATTAAAGATAATAACCAAAGATTTAACCCAAATTGAAAGTAGAATAATGAAATTGAGGTATTGAATTATGTATATACAAGTTTAATTGGAATTTGGTGATACTTGGAAATTATGCTTAAAATTTGCGAATGAATTTTGTTATGAGCAATGTAAATCATGTTATAATGAGAAGGAAATTGGAGGAAATAATTTATTAATGATATAGATGACATAAACTCGGTTATGGAATGTTGAAATGGAATTTAAGAATTCCTCTTGAATTATGTTAAATTATATTTAATGATGTTGAGTTGAATCATGTTGCATATGTTGAATTGTAGTGATTATGTGAGATGGTATTGACTATGTTGACTTTGATTTTTGTGACCTAAAATGTGGAGTTTTCCAAAATGGGTTAATCCCAAATTATTTTGCTAAATACTTGTGGGCTTGCTTAGTTATTAAAATCAAGAGAATGATTTATTTTTGGAAAAATGTGGAAGATGTCCATACAATTCCTTCCTATCTTGAAATCGAGGTGATTGATTATAAATTCCATATTGTGTTTGCAAGAATGGTAATCTTCTATTTCTATATATAGATATATTGAGATGGAGGAAATTGTGGTATAATGGATGGATAATGGTAGGCTTGTGAAGAATAACGAAGGAAGCAAAAAGAACTAATCACTAAGTTATATATGTGTACAGGGCACACTTCAGGAGGGCCAAGCACTCCGTTGTAGCACTGTGAGTAGTAGTACTTCGATGTATCTCTAACCGTTAATGATTATTGTCATTGACGTTATGATCTTCGTCACAAGAATTATGTTGACATGTATGTTATGTATGCTACGTAAATATTGTGAAATTATGGAAACATCAAAGGTGTATGCTATATTTGGAACATTGTGAAATTATGGAAACATCAAAAAGGATTTGTGAAATATGCATCTCGAATTTGTGAAGTATGGATCACCAACTTGTGAAATATGAAACGATGTGACCAAGGGCCATTTGTGAATTATGAATCTATGTGGCCAAGGGCCATTTGTGAAATATGAAGGTATGTGACCATGGGCCATTTGTGAATTATGAATCTATGTGGCCAAGGGCCATTTGTGAATTATGAATCTACGTGGCCAAGGGCCATTTGTGAAATATGAAGCTATGTGGCCAAGGGCCATTTGTGAATTATGAATCTATGTGGCCAAGGGCCATTTGTGAAATATGAAGTTATGTGACCAAGGGCCATTTGTGAAGATCAAACCTATGTGGCCAAGGGCCGACTTGTGACTTATGAAGCTATGAGGCCAAGGGCCAAACTTGTGAACTTGTGAATCCAAAGGGCCGAAGGCCGATGTGATAAGTTGTGACTCTATGAAACCCAAAGGCTATTGTGAATGTGAGAACCTCTCAGGCCAAGGGCCGAACTGTGAAATTGTGAAACCGATAAAGTCATCTATAATCTAATGAAAATATGCTTACTTTTCGTTACTAATTATCAGGAATGTCCTGTCAACTTTACGTTAATTATGTTAACTCATGGGAACGATGTAACGGTTACCATTAGGACTCTGTTAATTACAAGGCAAGGCAACTATGTTAACATATAAGAATGATTAAACAAAGGTGTATGCTATTGATTAATAGAGCACGTGAATTAAGTCATTTACCCAAAAGAATTTATGTTCATTCTTGAAGAATAGATTCTGAGTAAATATAAGAGTAGCTATGTGTATCCATATGAATTTGAAGTTATGTTGCTATGTTGCTTATGAATTGGAAGTTATTCAGAATCTACGATATAAGTGCAAAGTTTAGCATTATTATGTGACTCTCATGAGAATGTGAATTAGTCTCTTATTGTTAAGCGTATGATAATGACATGACACAACAAGAAACGCTCCAGTTATAATATGTTCCGTTTGATTTCAGCAGTGGCAGCTGTGGAAGGTATATACCAAATTACAACCAGGAACCTAATATCACTGTCTGAGCAAGAGCTCGTTGATTGTAATGTTGATAGCCGTGGTTGTAGTGGCGGCTCAATGGATACAGCCTTTCAATTCATCCAACAAAACAATGGTCTCACATCAGAAGATAATTACCCTTACATTGCACAAGATAACACTTGTGACAGCACCAAAACAGCAACCTCTGTAGTCCAGATAACTGGGTACGAAGATGTGCCACCTAGTAATGAGCAGGCTCTTCTGCAAGCTGTGGCGAACCAACCGGTTTCTGTTAGCATAGAAGGTAGTGGACCGAACTTCCAGCATTACAGTAGTGGTGTCTTCGCTGGGCCGTGTGGAACCCATCTTGACCATGCTGTCACTATAATTGGATATGGAACTACTACTGATGGGACTAACTATTGGTTGGTTAAGAATTCATGGGGCTCTAGTTGGGGTGAGAATGGATATATGAAGATCGACAGAGATGCTGTTGCGGAAGGTCGATGTGGCATTAAAAGTTTGTGATCCTGGCATGATAGTAGTAGCTCGATGGAGTTTGTTTCCAGTGTCAAATTTTTATATTTAGTGCTTCCGTTCAGGCCCCATATATATAGATATAAAACAGGTTAAGTGTCCGTTTCTGAAGTGGTCATGCCCAAACTTCTAGGGGCGGGTTTGGGGCGTGACAGTAATATTTAATTAGCTAGAGTAGTTAATTGTTTATTCGGACTATATTATTTATTCGGACCCTCCGAGCGAGGACACAATTGTAATAAGTGTGCGTGCGTGTGATGTATGTCTTCCAACCCCACGTCTTTCTCCCTTTTATTTACAAGCTTATGATGGTTAGATTAGGGCATGTTTCAATTAGCATATTTATGATTGCATGATTGCATTCATTCATTTGTTTTGCATGCGCCGGGCTCGGCGCATCATACTAACTGCATTGTATTTCAATTCCAAGTTGAATACATGTTAGCTGTAGCATCTTATATGCCATTCTTAGGATAGCCGAGCCTATTGTAGTTGCATTTTGCATGTATTGCATTAGCCATTTTAACATGAACTAGGATCATGCATTGATTACTAACTAGTTTCTGTTTAGGCTCGGAGTACTCGGTAAGTGTTTATGCTTTAGCATCCTTGCATGAGTGTGAGTATTGCCATGATAGCATGCTTACCATGAGGCTAACTGCTTATGTGATATACCTACCTGAATGCCTGTGGGTGAAGGCTGGATTATCTGAATCGGAATAATGGATTGACTATGAGTTTTAAGTCCACTTGAGAGTGGCAAATCATCTTGTTTTCTAAGCCCACCTGAGGGTGGCAAATTCGCATTTTAGCCTACTTGCGAGTAGCACCTTCAAACCGTTTTTCAAAACGAACATGAGATGTTTTGTTCCAATTCAAGCGATCCAATCTATACTTGTATGCTGTGTGCATCACGTAGTAAATCTAGGCTAATAACTGGAATAAGAACACATAATGTTTTCAAAACTAGATATCATGGTTAGTAGAGGCCGATCTTTGATCGGGCGAGCGGGGGTGCTCACGAAGTGACCTTCCCCAATCGTACCCAAGTTCCCGAGCTGAGGCAACTTTGGTGATGACGGACACGTGGCCTTAGGCACGAGTCAGGGTTTCCTAAATTCCCCCAAAATAAAATATTTAGGTGGCGACTCTATATCTGGCAAAGCAGTCCATGTTTGGCATTTCTTTCAAAAAAATCTGTTTTGAAAAATGATTTGTCGGATTTGGACTCTTTGATGACTCATCGGTCTTGCATTGCACTCTGCGAGATTAGATACCGGACCTTGACATTTGAGTCCTGAACTGTAGTGAGCCCATATGAACAAAACGGGGTTTCCCTCCCGGGACGTTCGGGGACGTCTACAGTTTCTGGCGACTCTTCTAGGGAGTTAGAGAACTTGACTCGAACTCGTGATATCTGGTTTTGACTACACTTATGTGTTTCATTGCATTGCATGTGCATTGGTGCGCCTAGGACACCATGTTTGCCGTATACTAATCCTGAACGGTTTGCCGGAGGCTTGCTTTGCGAAGCGTGCCATAAGGCTGACCGGTTGCGGACTCTGCCACGACGGGAACACAAACCCCGATTTTACCGGGGCACCCTTTTCGACCATTCGACCTAGTGCATAGTCGGAATCCATAGTGACCATTCCAAGCTAGGACAGGTTACTTACTCGATTATAGGTTTTTTGAAACCGCTGCGTGCATAGTGAAACCTTAGCTCCTGACAAAATAGGACAGGGAAACCCTACCCCAACATAGGGGTGTTTTGGCTCTCACTTGCTTGTTATGTGCTTTTAGAGTGCGTCTCTACAGGAACGCATGTATTAGTTTGCAAGTTTGGGCATCAGGCCTGCGGGCACTAGTTTAGTATTTTGGGAATCAGTTATCTGCGGGTATCAGATTCAGATTTGAGGCAGTAATTTGGGGAACAGTGATCAATAGCCGAATACCGTTATTCAGCTATACTAGTATCTGTTCTTGTGAAATTGGATTGAGATGCTTCCTGTTTTTCTCTTTCAGTTTAGAGACTCAATTCAAAGCAACCAGTGTGCTCCTTTGCTGAGGCAAGGTAGGAAATGGCTCACCGGTTCATCCGATCCGTCAGTCACCAGTCACGTCACCTCCGTTCAGTTCAACAGACTTATGATGACACAAAATTCAGAGGAAATGGTGGTTATGGCAGCCGCATTAAACCAGGGAATCATCATACAGGGTGATATCGATGTTGAAATGCCACACCCACCTAGGTCACCTGCCGCACATCCGATCTGGAACCACAGTTATTTCAAACCCGTGAGCCCTCCACATTTGAGTTGATGGGAATCATTGGTGACCTTCAGAGGTCTGTGGCTCCGCCACCAACAACATCGTATGCCGGGAACTTCATGCCGCAGGAGCCCCCGCTACTGGGGCGAATTGTAATTAAGCTCGGCCAAACTGAAACTGTCTCAAGCTCCGGCAATGACATGTCAACAACAGCTGGACTTCACACCAATCAAGCAACCCAAACCTCCCACCAAACTCCGGCTACTGGAAAGAACAAGGAGAAGGTGGACACTAATCCCTATGAACAACTCCAGCAAGCTGTTGAGACTTTGAAAGCCGGGGGTTTGAATAAGCAACAAGTACTTGCAGTTGTGGCTAAGATTGTGGATGACATCTTCCCCACTCAGGCCGAGAGCAGTTTAAGCCAAAGGGAAAATCGAGATGGGGACCGTCATACCATAACAATTCCTTCCAATCCTAACCCTGCACCTGGAAAAGATCAGAGAGCCAAGGCAGCACCTGCCGATCCTTTTTTGAATGTGTCCAGCAAAAGTCAACAAACCTTGAAGTATCCGTCCCGAAGTCGCAGGGTCTTCCATGCCCTCTACATGCCTTTGTCTAAGGCCCTTCAAATCCTCGTCGAAAAAGGGCATCTCAAAACCCTCGAGCCTTGGCCTCTCCCGAGTCCCCTTCCAGCTAAGCATGATGGTACCCAGCACTGTGCATACCATCAACAAAGCGGTCACAGCACCGACAACTACTTCCGTCTTCACCACAAAGTGCAAGATTTGATTGACAATGAAGTCATCCTCCCGCCAAGCTCGGCAAAGTCTGTCACCACCGGGTTGGTGGATTTCGAGGATAATGCAAGTATGTGATCAGGGGTTGGACGACCTGCGGGCGGCGCACGGTTTACCTCGGATGTGGCGTATGGCACGCACTATTTTGAGCATTTGTGAATGCTAGTTTTGTAGTTTCTGGCTTGGGTGTTGAGTCAGTTCTGTACTTTTGTTTTGAGCCTGTCTCATTGTCTTGAGTCAATCTTTTGAATTAAGGGTCTGTCTTGGTGTATCGAGTCAGTCCTGTTGTACAAAGGTCGGGTGATTCCGGGGGTGTTACCTCGAGCATCACCATTTTGTTTTGCGTTTGTCTTTTCATTTTGTTTTGAGTCTGTTTCTACCTGGGGCCAATTACACCAACAAATTTGAGTGGAACAACAGTAATTTTCACACTCTTACATTTGCTTCTACCTTGTGCCGGTTGTGCCAGGAAATCTAGGATGAATTGGCGGAGCATCTCACCTGCTTTTCTGCACCTTTAAATAATTCCATGGACCTAAGTTTTTCAAAACTTTTTGAACATAGTGATGAAAACAAAGAGGAAGTAATTCCTCGGGATTTGCAAAAAAAATTGATCAATTGAGAGAAAGATAGGCATGCTAAGCCCTTAATGATTGAGATCAGACTTGTTAATGTGAGTACTGAGAAGGATCCTGGCTTGATCCAGATTGGTTCTACACTGTCTTCAGCGCGAGCGATTTGTCGCTTTCTTAAAAAATTTCAGAAAATATTTTGCGCGGTCCTGCGAAGACTTGTGTGGAATCACTCTTGAGATTGTGTAGCTTAGGATCGCTCTCAGCCTCGAAACTCACCCCCTTTGCTTCCAAACCTTCAACCTTAATTCAGAATGTTCAAACGGTCAACCACAATGTAAGGCCCGTGTGGCCGGATCAGAAGCAGCCCATGAACTCCGAGCAAGAATATCAGATGTGATCAAAGGAAGCTTGCAAAGCAAGATCAGAAGCACCCCTGGAACTAGGGGCAAAAATGTTCGATGCACTCGAAGAGCCGAAGATGGATCATTCTGTAAATTAATGAAGGCTGGCAAGAATGCCAAGTCCTAGAAGGGGGGAAACAAGAAAGTATCGCTGAAGGACAACCAAGTTCCTATCTACAACACTAGGGGCAAAATCCAACCCCCATTGGATGGACTCCTACATCGTCAGCGAACAACAGTCATTCTCCGGGATTCAAATGACTTCGAGATCTCAAAAGAATTCGACATGGACAAAGCTACACTTTTACCCTTGAGAGGCTTGCTGGGCCGAAAACCCAAAAGGGCGACCCAGGCAAAAGTTAGAGCAAGAAAAAGAAGAAAAAGAACAAAAAACAGAAATGGTGAAAAAAAAATGCAAAGATAAAAAAATGAAAAAAGAAGAAAAGAAAAGAAAAAAAGGAAAAAGATGAAAAGAAAGAAAAGAAATGAAAAAGAATTGAAGAACATAGCTCGCAAGGTTGAAAACCCAGAAAGGGCGGCCTTGGCAAAAGTTAGAGCGTAAAAGGAGAGGTTAATACCCGAGTGTACCTTAACCCCGAACTACATAAGGCTTGATTCCCATCTTTGGGATACGTAGGCAACTTCATTTTGAAGTCCAGCCGTAAAACGCTTCAAATTCGACTGTGTCCGTGTAGTGGTTTTTGATCAACTTTGCCGTCTCTGTATCCAAGAGTTCAGTTGCGATCGTCACTCTGAGGACTGATTACAATGCGTTGCGGCACCATTCAAGCAAGGGGCAACTTTCCGTTGCCATACAGTGCGCTGCGACACCATTCAAACAAGGGGCAACTTTCGTTGCCATACAGTGTGCTGCGGTGCTGTTCAAACAAGGGGCAATTTCCCATTGCCATACGGTGTCGTTCAGACAAGGGGCAA